AGCCACGACGAGGACCCGAGCAACTTGCTGGTGCTGTCGAATGCACTGCTGCTACCAGGACACCCCACTTGGCACTAGCGGCGGCAGCAGCAGCATCACTTGCTACAGCAAGGCCTGTACTTGCTGCGCATCAACGCAGACCACGTTGGGATGTCTGGCACGAGGGCTGCTGGCTTTGCATGTGGCTGCTGCTGCATGCAGTCTGCATGGGTAAATCAAGGGACAGCTGCCAAGGGCTTTGTATCCTTTTCGAGTTCCCAATGTATGTCGTCTTTGCTGATAACGCGGTGCAGCTCTATTGGCCGCCACTTCTCCACCCCACGGATCCCCAAGTCGATCGCAATCGAGCTGGGGACGAACTTCACTAATCTGTACTCTCCACCCTCCTGACCTCCTGCGGTACCAGCAACAGCACACTAGGTAGAGGATAAAACAGCAAAGAAGCAGTATCAACGCCCAGAACAGGAGCTAAGGGCAATCGCACACTTTGGAGCACACACCGACAGACGCACACACATACCGGCTGTCTCCTTCGCGTGTGGACAAAAGCCAATTGTCTTGTTTGTGAGTAGATAAACCCAAGCTGTCTGTCTCCCTTAAGTGCAAAAAACGGACTGTCGTGCGAAGACACACACTGTTCGTGTCCTTACCAGGGAGAGTAGCAGCCCAGCAGCTGCGCCAGTAGTGCGCCTTGTATGGAGCCGACTCCACAACAGCTGCAACCCCTCTGAGCAGCAAACTGTCGCCCCTGAGGAGACAAAAGGGACACAAAGGGCAGCTCTGCTACATCCAACTCTGCTCTTTAGTTGCTGCTGCTACTGCTTCCGTAATCGCTGTTGTTACCGCCATCGTTGTTGCTGTTGCTGCTGCTGCGTCTGAGCTCACGTTGCGGCATCCACATATAGGAGGGTAAGTGGCTGTCCCTGCTGAAGCTGTTTATACACCTGAGATGAGGAGCTGAGGGCGAAGTGAATGAAGTTGAAGGGCAAGCTAAAGGCACTTCGTTCACCTGAAAGCCATTACGACAAAAAGATGAACTAACTCGTCACTAACTCGCCACATAAAAGCAGAAACAAACTAACAAGCAAAGCCAACTGTAGGGCAAATAAATTAACACTACATGGGCAGACAGACACAAAATAACAACCAAAGACAAGTAGGCCTAGAAACAAACTTCGAAGGACGCACTGGATGCACTCCGCGCAGATCAGGACACAAAGACGAAGACGGGCACGAGAAACAGGAAACATGAAAGCACAAACCGAGAACGACAGACGAACCCATAGACACAATTACAAATGTATATGCGCAAATACGTATCGGGAGATGCACCCACAACAACCCGCGACAAAGACAAGAGCAGGGCCAATGTGGCATGGAGACAGCCGGAAACGCAGATTCGTCACTGGTTCCTCCCCTCTTCATTGAGGCGGACGGGAAGACACGGAATGATACAGAGAACAAAGTCAGAAAAACAGACGGAGAAACAAAGAACGAGACAAAAATAACGGCTGGAACGCAACCACAAGAAAAAGGACAAAGAAGTGGGTTGATGGAAGCAGTCAAAATGCTCACAAACGAACGAAAAAAAAAAAATAAAAGAAAGTAAAGAAACAAGAGACAGAAAAAGGTCAAGAAAACATGGACGGAGAACGCACAGAGCCTGGTGCAACAAAAGGACATAGACAACACAGAGACAGGGAACAAGAAAACAGCGACAACCGTGAGACAAAGACGACACAACAACGGCGAACACAAAGATATAGGCAAAACACTCAGGCACAGAAAAGAAGGAAAAACACAGAAAATAAGCATAACCCCGGGCTCGCAACTCAGCAGAGGGGACACCAGAGAAGCAGACAACAAGAGACAGCAACAACAGTAAAACAGAAAACAAAATAAAAACTGACCAGCCAACAAATAGGTCAAGGAATTGTTCTCTATGCCTGCAATAACCTCCTTGGAAGGGAGACGCAGCACCCGGCTTTCGGGCAAATGAGGCTCCACACCCACTGCTGCAACGCAGCAGCAGCAACAGGATCAACAGTAGTAGAAGGCGCCTGCCCACACTAACAAATGCAGCGGCATTCAGCAGCAGCACCTACTGCAGCAAGAGCGGCAGCGTCCTGCAGCAGCACGTGTTGCAGCAAGAGCTGCACCAGCATACCAGCAGCGATACCACCGTCTTGCGTCCCTCCAGCCATGCAAATACACGACAAACAGTTTGCCACGATCTGCAGCAGAGGGCAGCAGCAGACAACACCTATGTGGTTCAGCAGCAGCAGCAGCAGCAACTGCTGCTGCTACTCCCGTCCCACCCCAGCTCCTCACCCTTTTCTGCAGCAGCAACAGTGCCAGCAGTAGCAAAAGCGGCGGCAGCAGCAAGAGCGCATACGGTGCAGCAGCAGCTGCAGCAGCAAGATTTTCCTTTACCTGCTGAGCCCGCTTTAGGGCCGCATCTTTACTTGTGGCAGCAACTGCTGCCTCTTCCTCCTGCTGTTGCCTCTTCAGCAGCAGCGAGTTAAATATCAATGTAGCAGCAACAATAGGAGACACAGAGACGGCTCCGAACAGCAGCACCTTCGCCCACATGCGCCAGCGACGTGGCTGCGTAGGTCGCCGGGGCTGCAGCAGCAACAGTTGCAGATGCCGCACCAGAGGCCGGAGCAAAGGGGAATACGATCGAACCACAGAGACAAAGCTGGGCGACAAATGGAAGGGGCCGACAACCCACTAACAGTCGCACCCGTTGAAGCGGCATGGCAACGCACCCCCACACCTTAGCAGTGGTAGTAATAGTACGTAGTAGCAGTAAAATCAGCAGCAAGAGCAACACGAGCAGCAGCAACATGAATAACAGCAGCACCACCAACAGCAAAACCCGCGACAGCCAAAAGCATGGCAGCCTCACTGGCGGCGATGCAGCAAAGCCTGACCGCAGCTGCAGCGGGGCACCAGTTGCTCCTGACACTGCACGAACGCCTATACCAGCATATGCAGCCGAATGGAGGGCTCCAACAGCAGACGCTGCAGCGGTGGGAGCCGCAACTGCTGCAACTGGTTGCTCTCCCTGCAACGGCTGACCGGGAATCTCCCCCTGCCACCGGAAGGCAGAAATATGCAGCCGCCGCCGCTGCTTCAGGAACCCTGGAACCAAGGAGAGGTCAGCATCGGCCCATGCTGTAGTTGCCGTTGCTGCTGCTGCGGGCTCTGAGCCCAGCAACAGCAGCTCCCCTTGGAGCCTGTGCTGCCTGTGGCCACTGTTGCGGAACGCTGCGGCAAGAACCCCGCTCTTTGTGCAGCTACTGTAGAAATCAGCTGCAAAAGCAGCTGCAGCTGCTGCGGTAGCTGTAGCAGGTGCTGCAGGAGAAACGGGTCGCCCATGAGCAGCAGATGCTGGCCTCGAGGCGAAGACAACTTTCAGTGAGACAAGACGAGCTGCCGCTGAGGCAGCCATTGTATGTTTTCGGCACTGCCTGCTGCGACACAAGCTGCTGCGCTTGCTAATGCATTCACGACTGCGTCTGCAGCTGCTGCTACAGCAGCAGCTGGTGCTGTTGATGCGGTGCAGGCACCACAGGCCCCTTCTATGAAGAGACGGAAAGTGTGCGCGTCCTCCAGGTGCGCTACTGCGTTGATAGTGCTGCTGTTGCTCCTGTAGCTGTTGTTGTTCCGGTTGCTGCTGCTGCTGACCCCCCGTCGAGTCTGGGTCCGTGCGAAGAGTTCAATGCCTTGCTACATGTTAGCTTCAGAAAAGGGGTGTAAAGGCAGCAGCAGATGCTCCTGCTGCTTCAGTTGATGTTCCTGCTGCCGCTGCTGCTCGTATGGATTTCCTGGTGGTACTATCGAGGTTGTGAGCAGCAGCGGGGACCGTACCCCGGCAGCAGCAGCTGCTGCAGGAGCAGCAGGAGCAGGAGACGAAGTCAAAAAGCTTGGCAGGGACGGGGCAAACAGAAATTCAAAAAACTGCTGCTACTGCTCCGCTGCAATTGGAGAATCGCCCCTTCGAGCCCCCAGTCTTCCTGCTGCTGCTGCCGTCCTGCTGCTGCGCAGCAGCTCCTGACGCAGTTGAAGGAGGGGTGGTGCTGCTGCTACAGCAGAAGGCAGGAGGCTTCTGCTGCTGCCGCCTTTGCATGAGGTTGTTATTATTGTTATGTTTGTATTTTTCATATTAAACGAACAGCTGCAGGGCCTCTGCCTGTCACCTGTACCCTGCGCTGTCCTGATCCGTCGCGCCAGCGCTCTCTGCTGCAGCAGCATCATCATCAGCAGCAAACGCAGCAGTAGCAGCGGGTCCTTCCCTGTTAAGTTTGTTCCCGCCTGTTCCTTTGTCGTTCCTTGGCCCTTGCTGCTCCAACCACCTTCCCTTGCCGCAACGGAGCAGCAGCAGCAACAGCAGCCGCATTAGCAGCAGCGACCTCGGCAGGCGCACACCCTCCCACATTGGGGCAACCCTTTCTTGCGGTTCCTATTGGCTTCTTAGGGCTCAGGTGTATGTACTCCGCCTCAGCTGCTGCGGCAGCTGCAGCAGTTACACAGGCCCATTAATCATGTTGGCGCGTTAGGGGAGGCAGAGCGGCAGCTGCAGCGCGGCATTAAGACGCCGTCCCAGGAACAACAACAGCAACAGAAGCATTGGCAGCAGTAGTGGGCACAGGCAGGTAGTGCTGTAGGGGGGTTACAGGCACTCGTACGGCTTTCTCAGCTCCTGGACTGCCCGTTGGCCGGTCACTGCAGCAGTATCAGGAGCAACAACAGCAACAGGAGCAACAGCAGACGGCACCGACTGCAACGGCACCGCCGTCTTTCCTTTGAGTAGCTGCTTCTTCGGATTCTACGGCAGCAGCAGCAGCAGCAGATGCTGCTGCTGCGCTGTCTGCTCGTTTTCCGCTGATGCAGCACTCCCGTAGCCACCGCAGCCGCAGCGGCGTGGGTGGGAGGCAGTGCAGCAGCAGCATCAGCAGCAACCAGCAGCATCAGCATAAACAGAAGCAGTGAATATGGCGACCCCGCGAGGTCCTGCACCCCCTGCACAGACCCCTCGGGGCCCCACAGGGGCAGCAGCCGCAGCTGCTTCTGCTGCTGTTGTGCTGTCGCAGCCCTGCAGCCCAGGCAGCCGCAAGGCAGGCCTTAGAGCTGTGCCTCACGCATTGCAGAAGGTCACGCCCTGCAGCAGCAGAAACAGCAACAGCAGCATTTCTACTGCCTGCGACACCAGCAGCAGCGGCGCCAACACTACATGCGACAGCAGCAGCAGAACGGCCTCTGCTGGCAGTGCCAGCAGCAGCAACAACACTCAGGCGGATGCAGCAGCCAAGAACAAAGCCGCACCCTCTCCTTGGGCGTGCGTAAAGCACCAGCAACAAGAAAGGCAGCAGCAGCAGCAACAGCAGCTGGGAGGCCGTAGACCCGCAGCGTCGCAGTGTGGCTGCAGCGACTCATCGGAACCATCTGCCCCCGACTGTGCAACAGCAGCAGCTGCTGCAGAGGCGAATTTGCGTAGTCTTTCCGCTGCACCAGCAGGGGCGTCGCCTAATCCAGCAGATGCAGCATGCGGTTGCCCAGGGGCCAATTTCTGCTGCACACCAAGCGGCTCAGCAGCAGTGCTAGCGGATGGGAGATCAGCAGGTGCAGATGCTGCAGCAGCGGCCGGTGCTGCAGCAGCAGCGGGTGCTGCAGCATCAGCTGCAGCTGCGGGGTCTCTGAAGGTTCGTGCTGCAGTGACAGCCAGCAAGCGGCAGCATCCGCCCGTTCTGCCGTCTCTGCTACGACGCACTGCAGCCCCTGCACTGTCCCTCAAAATGGAGCGTTCCGCTGCAGCAGCACCAGGTGCAGCGGCAGTAGCTGCTGCTGCATCTGGAGATGCTGCTTCGGGGACAACAGCAGCAGCTCCCGCTGCAGGTTGTGGTCGAGGCCTGTGGTTGAGCATGCAACAGCAGCAGCAGCAAGCAGCAGCATGTCTGCACGCTGCAGGGCTGATGCTGGGAGTGCAGCCATCCGCTCAAGCAGCAGCAGCAGCAGCGGCTGCTGCTGCTGCTGTTGCTGCAGCTTCCTGTGCCTCCAGGGACTCAGGCCTGCACCCAACAGTAGAGTCAAGCCGCATGACCCACGTAGGAACAAGTGTGGGACAAGCGCTCCAGCAGCAGCAGGAGCAGATAGCTGTACCAGGCAGCAGTAGCAACACGAACAGCACTGGTCTGTCAGCGGCTACGGCGCCTGCAGCTGGTCCCTGTGCTACTGCTTTTCCTGCTGCTCAAGAGCCAGCTTATCGCCTTTTTGCTTCCCTGCGCATTCGCTCTGCGGCAGCCGTTGATGCGGAAGCAGCAGCGGCAGCTGCTGCAGCAGCTGCTGCAGATCCCCACAGTCTTGTCGCTTGCGCGACGCCTTGTGAGTCAACTCCAGATGCAGTAAAAGCACAAGCAGGATCAGCAACAACAACAGCACCAGCAGGCAGCGGGTGTGTAAAGATGTGTCGGCTGCAAGCGTCTGCGGGTGTAGGTCGTGCAAGTCCTCCCACTGCAGAACTATGCAGCTCTATCAGCATAGCAGTACCAGCAGAAGAAGCAACAGCAGCAGCTAGTGCAGCAGCAGGAGAGCAGGTATGTAGCCGCTGCTTGGCTGGGCTGGAGGTATATCCCGCAGTGCATGGACTCTGTTTCTTGCCTAGGGGTGCTGTCGTTGTTTGGAGAGGCCGGCGGTTCCTTCTTAATATCGACGCCTGGCTAGCTGCTGCGAGCAGTAGCTGCAACGACAGCAGCAGCGACAGCAACGGCAATGGCAGAGGCGGCAGCAGCAGAAGCAACGCGAACAGCTGCGCATCTTCACAGGAACCGCAGGGGGATGCCGCACGTGCTGTTATGTCTTGCGGGGTTGCTACAGCAACAGCGGGCGGACAGCAGCAGACTGGGGGAGACCGTGGGCCGGTGGGAACGTGCTGCTGCTGTCCACTAGTCAAGCTGCGGCAGGGTGTGTCCAGAAGCAGCAACGGAGGCAACAGCAGCAGCAGCGACAGACGAGGCGAAAGACAGACGCATGCAGGTCACCGCAAGTGCCTCGGATTTCCGGCTGCTGATGCGTCAGTGGACAGCTGCGGCAGCAGCAGCAGAACCCGAAGCAGCAGCAGCGACGAGTGCTCGCCGCGGAGCAGCAACAGCGGCGGCAGCAATGCTGAAGGCAGACCCTTCGTATCCTCCACATGTGGCGTTTCGGAAGACACGAGTGACCCTGGTTCGACTAACGGCAGCACTGGAGGTAGCAGGAGCAGCAGGTTGTGTATGTCTTGCAGGTCTAGCTGCGCTGCAGACCCCCCTACTTGCTTGTTCGCTGCTGGGGTGGCTATCCGTTGCTTCTCTCTGTCATTTTACGGCTCTGCTGCTGCAGCACGAGAAGCAGCAGTCCGTCACCTGGTGCAGCAGCAGGGCAGCATTTGCTTCGTTGTCAGGCAGCAGCAGCAGGAGCTGCAGCGACTGCTGCAACCGTCGGCCATAAGCTATGAAGAGCACATTGCAATGCAGCAGCAGCAGCAACAGCAACAGCAACAACAGCAGCAGCTGCAGCACCAAATATTGAAGAAACCGGAGACGTACGTCTTGAGGTTGCAACAGCAGCAGCAGCAGGACGTGCCACTCCGCCACAGACCGCTTCTTCAAGGAACAGAGCGGAATCCGCCGGTCTTGCGGCCCCGGAGGTCCCTGCAGCAGCAGGAGCACCCGGAGCGGGCTGACAGACCTAAGAGGCAGCTTCCTCCACGCCTTAAAGACCCTGAAGGTTCTGGCGCCATCTCTGCTGCAGAGAGCAGCGCGAGCTGCACCTCAACGCCAGCAGCAGGAAGAGCTGCAGCTAGCTCAGTAGACAGCGTCGACTCAGCGGGGCCAGCGTCCCCCGTGCCGGCAGGAGCAGCAGCAGCAGCAGCAGTGTCTCCAAGTTCTTCTTTCCTCAGCAGCAGCAGCAGCAAGGTTCACAGGACGCCTCTGTCACGCCCGCTGAAGCTGTCGGGAGTAATTCCGCGTCTGGAGCAGTTGCCGGTGTGTGAAGGTGAAGAGGGAGCAGCAGCAGCAGCAGCAGCAGCGGCGGCGGCAGCAACAGCACCTGGCGCGTACCGCGTCGGCGACTTCTTGCAGGGGCTGCTGGCTTGTCCTTCAGGCAACAGCTCGAAACAGCAGCAGCAGCAGCTCCTACGGAGCAGCAGAAAGCGGAAGGCAGTTCCTGCTGCTGCGGCGGATGGCTCTGGCAGTTCTTGGGGGGGTGGCCCCCGGAGCTTCCACAGAATCAGCAGCAGCAGCAGCAGCAGCAGCAGCAACGGTTGCGTATTCAGCAGCCTGAGTCGGGTATTGATGGAGAGAGAGGTGACCCGGGAGGGGCGTTTGCTACTGCGGAACGCTTTGCTGTCTGGCTGTCTTGTGCCTCCGGGGGAGGAGTTTGCAATCTCTTCTTTAGATGACATCGAAGCACTCCCGGCAGCGGACCCATTTGTTAGCCTTCACTCCTTTATTGCTGATGCTGCTGCTGTTGTTGTTACTGTTCCTCTTGGGCCTGCTGCTGCTGTGTTAATTGCTTGTGTGGCTGCTCGGTGTGCCTGTTCCTGCTGGTGGTGGTGATGGTGCTGCAGTCACTACTGTGCATGCTGCTGTTCTTGTGTTTGTTGTTGCTGCTGTTGCTGTCTACGTGCTTGCCTGTTGTTGCTGCTATTGTGCCGGCCTCCTGTTGCTGTGGTGCCCAACTTTCTGTTTGCGTTTGCTTCCTGATTGCTTGTCTCCGCTGTCGGGCAGCGTGAAATACGCTGGCAGGTTGTTGCTAAGCGCTAAGCTATTGCTGCTGCTGCTGCTGTGCTGCAGTCGTCGAGCTGGTACTTGATGCAAATATTTGTGCAGTCACACAAGCTCCAGCGGAGCCAGCTGATGGATGTTGCCACTACCCGGCAGCTGCTGGCTGCCAGGCGCTTTGTTTATTTGCTGTCTCCTTATGCAGAGTCCAGGACGTTTGCTGCTGCAGCAGGCGCAGGAGGCCACGCTGCTGCCGCTGCTGCGGCTGTTGCCGTTGCCAAGCCTCCCCCCACACCACCGACTACCAGGCAGCAGCTTGCCAGCGCCGCCACCACCACCACCACCAACAGCAGCAGCAATTGCATTAGCAGCCACAGCATTAGCAGCAACAACAGCATTACCAACGGCAGCATTGGCAACAGCAGCATCAGCAACTGCAGCAGCAGCGTCAGCAACGGCAGCATCAGCAACAACTGCAGCAGCAACAGCAGCAGCATCAACAGCATTAGGAGCAACAGCAGTAGCGGCAATTGCAGCAGCAGCAACAGCAGCAACAGCAACAGCATTAGCAGCAATAGCACCAACAGCAGCAGCAGCAGCAACAGCGGCAACAGCAGCAGCAACAGTAGCAGCAGCAACGCCATTAACAGCAACGGCAACAGCGGTAACAGAAGCAGCAGTAACAACAGCAACAGCAACAGCAACAGCAATAGCAACAGCGGCAACAGCAAGGAGCTGCATGCAATTTGTGCTGTCGGCCCCACGTCCGAAGGATTGCGCGCTGCGTCAAGCAGTAGCAGCAGCTGCAGCAGCGGCAACAGCAGAGCAGAGTCCCAACAGCTGCAGAACCTTGTTTCGCAGCAGCAGCTGGCGTTGGCTGCTCAGCAGCAACAGCTGGCGTCCGCTCAGCAGCAGCAACTTGTTCTTCAGTACCTCATTCGCAAGCGACACGAGCAGCATCAACACCCACAGCAACAGCAACAGCAGCAGCAGCAGCCGCAACTCCATTCAACGGCAATAGCCACAGATTCAGCGGCTGCTGGAGTGACCCTTGGTAAGGAATCAGTCATTTGGGCATCATTTAGGGGCATCATTTAGGAGGAAGCCGCAGAGCTTCTGTTGCTGTCTAGTGGTGATTAACTAGCTAGCCAACGCGGTGGTTTCTTTTCTAGCCAATTATGTGGCTGGGTGGTGTTGTTTTGTTGCTGCCTGTTGCAGGTGGAGCAGAGCAGCAGTTGCACCCGCAGCTGCTACACCAGCAACGGGTGAAACAGTGGCAGCAGCTGTGGCAGCAGCAGCTACTGCAACGACTTCAGCAGCAACAAACGGCTCCCCAAGGCGTCGCGCCCACTGCAGCGCAACAGGCCCTGCTGCAGCAGCAGCAGTCTCAAGGGGTTGCTGCACTTTGGCTGCAGCGCCCTCAGTGGCGCCTTCCCTTCTGGCCTTTGCTGCCACAGCAGCAACAGCAGCAACAGCAGCAACAAACACAGCAGCAACAGCAAAGACAACAACAACAACAACAGCAGCAACAGCAACATCACCAAAATGGACAAGCTAAAGCGGAAGCGGGTCCACACGAAGAAGAAACGAAACAGCCCTCTCTCTCAGCTGCTGGAGGGAAGCCCACAGCAGAAGCAGCCACACGTGATACTGTTGGTGCTGCTACTGCTGCAAAGGCTCCCTTCCTAAAGGGACGAGGCGAGGACGCCTGTAGTCGTAGCACCGGAAACAACAGCAACAGTAGCGACAACAACGGCAGCAGGAGCAGTGGCAGCAGCGGGAGCAACGCTAGCGGCAGCAGCAGTACCAGCGGTAGCAGCAAGACCACCGGGGGCTGCCGGGCAAGTCTGCTGCCACCTGGGTACGGTGAGCTGCCACAGCTGGAGGCCCTGGTGGACGCAGCAGTGCTGCTGAGCAGACACTTCAAGCCCAACCCAGAACCTCACCTAGGTAAGTATGCAACAGGTGTAGCAGCAGCAGAAACAGCAGCACGAGCAACGGCAGCAGCACTTGCACTGCACAGCCAAAGGCTGCGAGGTGCCGATCAGATGCGCCCTGTGGGAAGGGGCATTGCAGCAGGGGCGTGTGCCGTTTGGATGCGCAAATGTGTGTTTATGCTGCTGTCGTTGCTGCTGCAGAAGCAGGTGCTCGTCTTGACAGCAGGCGGCCGCTGCACTGCGTGTGGCTGGACGAGCGGAGGCAGCCGCAGTGGCGTTGTAGGTGGACAGCCTCAGCAGGTCGCCGCTTTAGTAGAACGTTTTCTGTCAATCTCTTCGGATGTACGCTACCGCTGCCGTTGCTGTTGCTGTTGTTGCCGTTGGCGCTGCAGTTGCTTCTGCTGTTGCCTTCAACGGATAGAGTGGGTGACTCTTCTCCAGGACACTCTGCATCTAACGATGCTGTTGTGGAGTTGTTGCTGTTGCAGTTGCTATGGGGTTTCAGCTACTACCTTTCCTGCTGTTGCGCTGCAGATGAGTCGGCAAAGCGCTTGGCTGTGTGGTCGAAGCTCCTTGTGTCGACACCGCATCAACGACGGGCGTGTCTTCAGGTTTGCTGCTGCTTGTGCGGCTGCTGCTTTTGCTGGTACTGATGCTTCTGTTGCTCATACTTGGGTGTATGTGCGGCTGCTGCTCTCCCTGTGCATGTGCTTGTAGCCTTGTGTTTGCTCCATTTCTTCTGGCTTGACCGTTCCTGCTTTTGTTATTGCTGTTGCTGTGCAGGAGCTCTGGGATTCAGTGCAGCAGCAAGTGCGACATCCGCTGCCGCATGAAGTAGCAGCGCTACTGAAGCACGGGAAGGTGAAGCCAGAAGTCTGCTGCTTCGAGCTGAGGCCCCCGGCGCTGCTGCGCCACCAGCAGCAGCTGCTGCTGCCACACCATTTCTCGCATGGCAAATCCCAGGACCAGCAAAATCAGCAGCAACGAAACCACCTACAGCAGCAGCGTCACCAACAACAGCAGCGCCACCATCAACAACAGCAAGAGGAACAACCGCGCGGCTCGCAGACTCCCACGGTGTCCTCCTCTGTCACTGGGTCCTCTAGTGGCAGAGAGCGACGCCAGCAGCAGCTGCAAGATAAGCAGCAGCAGCAACAGCAACACGAAGACGATGTAGGAGGTTCGCCAAGGCTTGAGAAAGAGCGGCGTTCTGCTGCTGCTACCGCCGGTACTGTGAGTGCTGCTGCTGTTGCTACCGCCGGTACTGTGAGTGCTGCTGCTGCTGCAGCTACTTCCGATCCGGGGTCCCCTTGTAATCCTCAGCAGCGCCGCAACGCTGCTGTTCCCGCTGCTGGGACTACCGCTGCTGGGGCATCAGTCACTAAGGCAAGCGAAAGATATGACAAGACGTCAGCAGATGGGGGCGGCTGTTTCCGAAGTGCTGAACCCGAAGCAACAGGGACAGCAGCAACAACGCCAGCAACAACAGTAGAAGGGGCAGCAGGAGCAGAGGGGCCTTCAGCAGCAACTTTTGCGGTGAGGCGGAGAGGGCTGCGTCAGCGGGGAACGGAGAAAGAAGACGCGATCGCGAAAGGTGAGGCTGTTCTATCAACGGCCGCTTTGAGTGCTGCTGCAGCGACTGCTGCAGCGACTGCTGCAGCAGCTGTTGCTGCATCGGCAGCTGCTGTTCCAGCAGTGGCTGCTGATGCTCCGAGAGGACCCAGCAGTGCAGGAGCAAAATCTGCAGGGGCTTCGCCGTTTGTTGCAGCAGCTACTGCAGTTTATCCCTGCCACAGCAGCCGCAGCGGCGGTGGAGGCCGATCAGGTGCAGCAACAACCAGAGCAGCTGCAGCAGCTGCTGCTGTTGCTGCTGCAGGCGAAGGATCGCCTGCGTCTGCTGCTTCAGTAGAGAGCAGCACCAGTAGCAGCTCCTTGAAGAGAAAGCCGCATCGTACGGAAGGTGATGAAACGGCGTATGGTGGTGCTGCTGCGGTTCCTTCTGCTGCACCCCCGGGGGTTTGTACAGAGACGGAGACTGGAAGGCTGAAGGGAACGATGCTGCTCAGATTCCGCAACGCACGCCAGCAGCAGCAGCAGCAACAGCAGCAGCAGCAACATGTGAAGCGTCGCCATGTAGACTCGGGCTCAGGTGAGTCCAGCAGCGAAGGAGACGAGACAAGCAATGCTGCTGCGTCAGGGCGCCGGAGTTGCAACGGCAACGGCAGTAGCAGCAGCTGCAGCGGCAAGCTGTTCTTTCGTCGGATCGCTGCGGGAACTGACAGCGCCCGATTGCTGCAGGGAAACAGCACACAAGAGGAGGACTCCACTAGCGACAGGGAAGAACTCGCTTCTGGGGCTGCTGCCCTCAGAGCACTCAGCCGCAGCAGCAACAATGCACAGAGAAGCAGCAACGGAAGCTACAGTTACAGCAGCAGCAAGTCTCCCCGTGAAGTGCGACGGGGGCGCCGAAAGGCTGCAGCTGATTCTAGCAACAGATGCAGCAGCAACAGCAGCAGCAGCAGCAGCCTCTCATCGCTCTCTGTTACCCACGAAGCCCCCGGCAGTACGCCAAGGGCTGCAGTATCCACAGTGTACATGTCGCTAAGGCCTAGGGCAGCAGCGGCGGCAAACGCAGCAGCTTCAGGCAGCAGTGGTAGCAGCAGCTTGATGTTCCAGCAGCAGTCGCTGCAGCAGCAGCAGCGGACAGCGGGTAAGAGAAATGGCACGTCAGAAGACGCCCAAAAGCCGCCTCCGCTTCCTGCAGCAGCAGCAGCAGCAGCAGAAACACCAGCTGCAGCAAGAGCTGCATCTCCAGTTGCACTACCAGCTATAGCAAGAACTGCAGCACGAGCTGTAGCAGCAGTCGCTCAAAGGTCGCGGCAAAACACTGTGAATTTCAACAGCGGCAGCAGCAGCAGCAGCAAAAGTAGCCTTAAACAGCGCCCCATCCTTCGATCCCTGCGGTCTGTGGCGACAAGAGCATCCGGGGCTGCAGCCGCCCTTCAGGCCTCCCCGCGACGAGTTTCTCCAGCGGCTGCAAGAGCAGCAACAGGAACAACGCATGCATGTGCGCTGGAGTAGGTGGGCCACGCTCCAGATGTGGTCTGAGCTGGTGTTCTGCAGCAGCAGGCGCTTTTGTGTCAGCAGCAGCAGAACCTAAGTGCTGCAGTGCAGGCTCTAAACAGCGGAGCAGCAGCAGCAACAGCGAGTTAAGCGGTTGCTGCCGCACCTTTGCAGCAAGGCCGTAGCAGAGAGCAAGTGTTCGGCCTCCCCCTGTTTGTAGTGTCTCTTCCATCCGATTGAGACCTGTTTTGTTGTCTTAAGAGACAGATACGCCGCTGCTGTTGTGCTACTGTTGCTACTGTTGCTACTGCCTTGTGTGCGCTGCTAGCCGTAGTGCTGTTGAGATGTGGCTGGTGATGTTGGAACAGGTACGAGCCCTCCCTAGTTTAGTGCTGCTGCGAACTGCGGCATGTGCAGCATACCCGGCAGACAAAGGTTTAGGTATAGACAGCCTTCTCCGCCAATAGATGTGTGCCAATCTCAGGGTCGAGGGTTCTACGGCCTGTTCCGTTGTTGAGCAGCAGCGCAAGGCAGCGGTAGCAGCAGTAGCTGCAGTACCAGCAGCAGAAGTCTGGAGCTAGCAGCAGGTGCAGTAGCTGTTAGTTGAATTTGACCCCGACACTGCTGCATGCACTAGCTGCAGAGCCATCGTACGCTGCCTCCGCTGCTACAGCAACGGGGTGAATTTATTATTACTGCTACTAGTGCTGCTGCTAGCTAGCGCTGTTGTTGCTGCTTCCTGTTCAGCCTCTGCACTGCATCCTCACCTGTACAGAACCTAAGCCCTTAAACGAATAACGATTAAGAAAAGGCCTACAAACTGCTACCTGGGCAGCTGCAGCAGGACGATTGCTGCAGAAGCATTTCCTGCTGCTGCACCCGATGATGCGGTCGCCGCTGTTTGCAGCAGCTGCTGCTGAACGTCAAGGGGGGTACGATAACACGGCCTCTGAAGCAGCAGCTAGCGCTGCTGCGACCTAGTATAGCTTTAACAGTTTGGTGAAGCAGCAGCATCAGCAGCTGGCGCTGCTGCTGCCCTTGCTCCAGCTGCTACCTCTGGTTATGAAATGCAACCGTCGCAGTCCAAATGGTCTACAAAACACTTTTGTGCCTTAAGCAGCGGAAGCAGCAGCAGTAGCTGCTTCTGCCCAGCATTTGCAAAGGAATTCCCCCCCGCATGCTACGATCTCCTGCTGTCTGTTGTCCGGGTCGTGGCGCAGTTGCCCGCAGTACACCCGGTGTACATGCACCCTCTTGGTAGTAGTGCTTCTGCTGCTACAACGCAGCGTTAGCTATCGTTTGTCTGGGTCTCCAAGATCTGCTCGTCTCGTAGCCTGATGCAGTGGCCGCAGCAGCACAGAAAGCAAATGCAGAAATAGCCAACGCAGCATGTACAGATATAGTAGAACAGACGGTTAGCTGAAGGGAGGACCCCTAGGAGGAAACAGAGTCTGGGAGAGCTAACTCATAGTCTACCAAGCGCAGCAGCTGCCCAGTTTTGTTAGCCGCCTGCTAGAGTTGTTGGAATTGATACTGCACCTGCTGCTGCAGTTGCTGCTTCACCTACTAGTGGAAGCTCACCAATACCTGCAAGTAGGATGCAGCTTGCAGCTGTACGTGTAAGCCAATCCGCTGTTGAGCCCGACCAATACCTGCGCGACGAGCAACAGCCAGCAGCAACAGTAGCGGTAGATGCAGTAGCAGCAGTAACACGGTACCAACGGCGGCATCAAGAGAGCACATAAAAGGAGCACATACAGAGAGCTCCCAGGCAATCGGCAAACACATTGGGCCCACAGCAACCCATTTACAACTATCCAGGAAGCTTATATGCACTTCTTGCTGCTGTTACTGAGCATTTGTTTCAACTGCTGCTACAGCACACTCTTCTCCACCTTCTGGTTGCTAATCCTCTTTGTTGCTTCTGCTAATTGCTGCAGGCTCCGCTTACCTCAAATTCGTCCCCTGGAAGAAGGTCCGAAGGAGCCACACACGCCACGCTGCAACGCATCAGCAAAGCAGCGGCAACAACAGTTTAAATGACGGATGATGAATGAAAATGCGAGAGCAACAGCAGCACCACCTGGAGAGGCAGCAAATCAACAAGTGGCGCATCTGTGCATTGGGAAGACACAAAAATAAATGTGAAGAGCAACGGGGGAAAGGAGAAAAGATAGGTGAGAAAAAATATCAAGGACAGGACAGGAAGCTGTAGCAACACCAACCATCGAATAAGAGCGGGGAGACAGATCCACAAAATACACATAAAAAGAAAAGGAGTTAGACAGTGCAGCAGAAAAAAGGAAAGCAAACCCCGCATGCCCCAATATTCCACAAAGACATCCCTCACGAACAAAACCCGGCCGCAAACGCTAGCAGCGCACCGCACCACAACCACAGCACACCTGAGCAGCCAATAGTACTGCTGCTGCTGCTGAAGAGCATCAACTCACCAGCCCTTGGCCACGGATGGGAGAGATATGCAGCAGTCGCAACCGCGCGCATGCAGTAGCCGTTCGCTTACAGAAGACGGCAGCAGCATAGACGTTAGAGAAGCCAAGGCAGACTGGAAGCAGCAACAGCGATAGCAGCAGCACATGAAAAGGAGCTGCATCAAATGTGACTGCAGTAGCAACAGCAGCAGAAATAACACAAGCAAACGAGAAACGAAGCAGTTCCAGACTGCAGCAGCAAATCAGCCCAAGGCCTGAACCTACAGTGGCAGCACCGGTGAAGTTGGAAAATCTGCTGCTGCTGCTGCTCCTGCTGCTGCTGCTGCTGCCAGCAGCAGACGCCGGCTGTGCAAGAGCTGCAGAAGCTGGAGATGGCGTAGCTCCACTTGCTGCGTCAATTGTGGCACAGCCCGCGGGTTCCACCAACTTCGCAGCCGGAGCAGTAGCAGTAGCAGCAACAGAACCGTTTGGCTTGCCGCTTCCTCCTGCTGCTCCCTGTACAAGCGTTCGCAGCAGCTGCTGTTGGGCAGCTAAGCCGCATTTAGAGTGTCGTTGCAGCTCTTCTGGGGACCAAGGCAGGCTAAACACGAAGACGAGTCCGTCGCCCCCTGAAGCAACAAGAGCAGCATAAACAACAGCAACGGCAAGAGCGAAATGACGACTCTGTGTCTGGGGGAGAGCCGCTAGTATGATAGCGGCTGTCGCCATCGGAAACAACACGCAACTGGATTCTCAGTTTCAGCATCAGCAACAGCAGCACTAGGAAGAGGAACAAAAACAACAGCAGCAGCAGTCGTACGCGAAACTGTAAAGATGCGGCTGCAGCCAGAAAAGGTAAGAGAAACCTGGCGCAGGGCATCGCCACCCTTCAAGAATGAGCCGCACGCAGCCTCCCCAGTCAGCTGGATCAAACCTCGCTGCTGGGGTGTCTTTGCTGCCTCCCCTCGTTGTTGTTGTTGTTGATGCCGCCGCTGCAGCGGCGCCGTTCCGACGAACTCTTCGCCCGAACCGCCGCTGCTGGCCGACCGGCCGATGCCATCCGCACTGATCTTGCTGCCTTCGGAAATACCCAGCCATCCTGGCGATTGCTGTTGCTGCTGCTGTGTGTCGGTGCCGTCTTCCATACACTCGAAGGAATCCGCAAGCAACCGCATGTTCGGCTTCCCGGCCCAGCTGCTGCCGCGGGACTCAGCCCCCTCCTCCTCGAGTGCTGGTGCTGCTGCTGTTGCTTGGACTTCTCGTGGTGCTGTTGCTGCCTTGCGATTTACCGCAGGAAAGGCTGCTTGTGCTGCTGTCCTGCCGCTCGAGTTATGGCTGCTCCCAATGCTGTAGGGACTGCTGCAGCCCGAGGGAGTGAAGGCACCAGGTGTCTCCACATTGTCCCATTCTGCTGACAACGCCGCACTGTTACTGCTGCTGAGTCGATCGCCGACTCCTTCGTTCTGCTGCTGCTCAGCTGGGCCGTTGCTGCGGCGGGCAACAGTAGCACCCCTTACGGCACCACAAATAATCCATCCTTCATCTTCTCTGTCCTTCTCTGCCTCCGTTTGTGGACCCCCTTCTGCTGCTGCAGTCACTGCTGCAGCTGCACCAGCTGCAGCTGCTGCTACAGCTGCGTCGGCTGGCTGGCCTCCGGTGTGTCTGTGAAGCTCTTCGTGTGCCTGTTGCTGCTCCGTCTGCCGCTGCTCCGACGAAGTCACAACGGGCCCACCCAATGCAGTTGCAGCCGCTTCTTCTTGTTCTGCTACTGCTGTTGCTGCTACTGATGCCCTTCTTGCACCACCAGCAGATGCTGCAGGGTTCCTGCTGTCCTTCTCCACGGACACTGACAGGCCTGCATATCTTTCATGTATAGCAGAAGGTTGCTTCTGCTGCTGCTGCGGTTTTTGCTGTTGTTGCTGCTTCGATTTCTGCTTTTTAGCATTGGCAGCTCGACACACCACCTCACCAACAGCACTGTCGTCGTTGAAACGTCCTTGGTGCTGCTGCTGCTGTGGCTTTTGTTGTTGCTCCTGCAGCCAGCTTGCTTCCTTCTTTGTCTGCTGGCTCCATTCGATTGCCTGCTCGTCGTGGTATTGCTGCTGCTGCTGCGGTGCAGCCTCGGCAATCTTCACAGCAGCTGTCCGTTGTTGCTGTTTCTGCATCTTCTCCTTTTTCTTCTTTTGCCGCGCTGACATCTTCGGTTCCAAAGCAACAGTTGGAGCTACTGCTGCTGTCGTTGCTTCACAACCTGTTGCAGCTGTTGCAGCAAACCATGGTGCAGCTTCTGCTGTCTTGTCATCCGACGCCTTCGGTGATGCGGTCCCTACCACAGTGCTGCGAACAGCCGGCTTGATGCTGTAACTGCTGCTGCTGCTAGTGCAACTGCTGCTGCTGCTGCCGCTAGTGCAACTGCTGCTGCTGCTGCTGCTAGTGCAACTGCTGCTGCTGCTGTTGATAGATCCTACAGCGCTCTCGTATGCTCCGTTCTCATCGTCGCTACTACTGGAAATTCCGCTGCCGCTGCCGCTGCTGCGCCATACTTTGCTGCTGCTGCTGTTGCTGCTACTGTTGGTCGTAGCGCTGCTGCTACTGGCAACAGGCCGGTCTCTATCAGCAACTGGCAATCGCGCCGCATTCGAAGATGGCTCAACTTGTTCTAGCTTCTGCGGTTGTTTTACCTGCTGTTCTTTCCGCTGTTGCTGTTGCTGTTGGTGCTGCTGCTGCTGCCTTTGTTTCTGCTTGGAGATCCTGCCTTTCGGCGCTGGTCGGTTGGCTGTGCTGCTCCCAGAAGACTCTGCGCACTGCAGCGTTTTTGATGTTGCAGTACTCGAAACCGTCGTAGCTACAGCAGCAGAAGACTCTGAAGAAGCAGCAGGAGGAGCAGCTGCAGCAACGCAGGCAGATGTCTGCACTACAGCCACAGGTTCTGCTGCAGCTGTTCCCGCGCTTGGGCTTTTCTTATGTCCCTCCATGACCGCATATTTCTTTTGCTTCTGCTTCTTGCTGCCTCCGTGCTGCTGATGCTTCGGCTGCTGCTGGTTTGGCTGCTTCTGCTCCTGGTCCTGCAGTGACCTGTTGTCCTTCGTGCCGGGTGTTGCTTGACTCGAAGCTTCTGCTCCTGCGTCTTGTGCTTCTTCGCCTGCAGTGCCTGTTGACTTGAGCAAGTCTACGTCTTGCTCCTCGGTTTTGCTGCGGTGAACGTCCCTCCCCATCACGGTCAAAGGACGGGTAGTGGGAGGTGCCCAGCCTGAAGGAACACCTATGCTGCTGTTGCTGCTGCTCCCTGTGCGGGCACCCGGTTGAAAGGAAAGGGGCCGCGCTCCCTGCAGAAGCAGCTGCGGGCTGTGGAGATGCAGAGCCAGCAGCAGATCCAGGGAAGGAACCGAGAAAATACGGACGACAGAAGCCTGCAGCAGACACCAGCAGCAGACGAAGATATAAGGCAGGAACATCAGTCACAAGGCAGAAGGCGCACACAGAACATGTGCACGCCGAGCGCTGCAGGTTTCCATCACCCTGTATGGGTAGTCTGTTGTTGATACTTCTGCTAGAGCTGTTCCTGGTGCTGCAGCGCCTGCTTCTTTAGTTGTGGAGCCGTTGCTTCCCAAACACCGGCAGCAGCAGCGGCAGCAGCTGTCGCAGCGGCAACAGCAGTGATGGTTCACCTTTATAGAAATTGCAGCAACAAGAGAGACAGAGGCGGAGAAGACAACGGCTCGCAGCGGTTCCTCGTGGGTGCACCTCCAAGCAGCAAATCGAGTGTTTAGTAGATTAAAGAGACACAAGACACCAGCCCCGCCTCCTCTAAGCAACAACAGGAGCAGCAGAAGCAGCATCGACAGAAAACGCGCTCCAAGGCAAAAGCACCTCCCTATACAGCCCGATGCATTTAAGCATGCATGCATCCACCCCCGTGGCTTCAGCAAGCTGTGCCACTGCTGCTACTGCTACTGCTGTAACTGGTGCTACTGTTGCTACAGTTGCTACTGCTGCTACAGCTTCTATTACAGGCACTGCGGGTACTGCTACTGCTTCTCTGGTTCGGGCCCCCGCAAGACCTATGCGCTGCAGCTCCCCTTGTCGTGAAGTTATGCCCTGCAGATCCAGCAGCAGCAGAAGCAGCAACACCAGCAGGAGAAGCATGAGCACGTACTGAGGTCCTGCAGGCAGGGCCAGATAACTGTGTTCTGGGCTCCATCCCACGGCCATCACGGCCTCGTTGGCCTCAGCAGCAGCAGCCGCTGCATGTGCCTGGCCGTTCGCTGCTGTCGTATCGGCTGCCCATGAATCTTGAGGCAGAATCTCCGGTTCGTGCGTAGCAGCGGACGCTGCAGCAGCTGCCACCGCTGCCACAGCTGCTGTTCCAGCAGCAGCAAGCAATCCCCGCGGCTGCTGCGGCAGTTTCGGGTGCCTCTCTAGAGTCCGTAGCAGTGTGAGCGACTGCAGCACATAAATGGATATGTGTTTCTCCGTCAGCAGAACAAGCCTCTCAGGTGTCAGCTTAACTCCGCATATTGCATACGGTTGAGTCACACACCCAATCAAACTGTTGCTACTGCTGCTGGAAGCAGCGAGAGAGGGCTTGCAGTTGAACAGCCGCAACATCCTCCGGCTGCTGCTGCTGCTCATCCCACTGCCTGCACAAAGGCAAGACACGCACAAGCACCGGACTGTGCTGCTGCCGATCCCCCAAACGCATCTGGTGCTGCTGCTGCTTCTGTTGCTCCTGCCGAAGCTGCTACTGCTGCTGCTATTGCTACCGCTCCTTCTGGAATCACACTGACTTGACCCCAACAGAGGCTGCAGCATCGAGGGGCACAAAATCCAGCAAATCCAACGGGAGCAACAACGCCATACGTGCACAAACAGCTGCAGCAGCAGCAGCAGCAGCATCCAAGAAGAAAACAACAAAAGCAGCAAACGTAAAACAACAGCGTACGATAACAGCAGAATGGATGAAGGGAGCAGCAGCCGCAACAGCAGCAGTAAGAAGAGCTACCCACCGACAACCGCAACAAGGCTGGTGTTTAGAAGCATCTCAACAAGCGTCACCGGCCCACATACACAGGTGTACATACACCTAAGAGGCCGGACACTCCAAACGAGAAAGCCAGCAGTAGTGCCCACGCATAGGCAGGAGGCGTCGCTGTTAAATCCCAAGAAGGTTGTTGCTGCCTTCACAGGCTGGGAGGACCCTGAAGACAGTCCCGCCTCTGCTGCTGCAGTAGACATTGTCTTGCTGCTGCTGATACCGCCAATACTGCTTCTTCTGACGATGTATAGGTGACCTATGCACGGACAAAACAAATATCTGGACAGCAGCACCGCCGTTCGATGAAACCGGCTCTGCGCTCCTGCTATGCTGCTGCTGGTGTTGTCTTCGGCCTAAGTAAACTAACAGAGAAAACAGAAAGCCACGTAAATGACACAGTATGCTAGATGATGTGGTGCGACCAGGCGCTGCTGCTGCTTTTGCTGCTGCTGCTGCTCTTGTTGCTGTTGCACCATTGGACTGCTGTGGTGTTGGCGCGACTGGCAACTGTGGAGGTGCCAGAAGGAAGAAAAACAAAGAACAATCAGGACTAGAGAATAAATAAAAGCAATGCAATAATAATATTTAAATCCGTGTGCTGTGTGAATTTCAATCTGCTGCTGCTGCTGCTGCTGCTGCAACAGACCAGCCGTAGCCTAACAACCCCACCACTGCTCCTGCTGCTCTTCCTGCCGCTGCTGCTGTTGCTGCAGCACCAGCTGCTGCTTGCTGAATTAAGTAGACTGAATGTGCATAAATTAACACTCGTGTGTTTATTGTGGCGGTCTCAAGTTAGAAACTAAATTACCACAACAAGGGTGTGCGCGGGCATGCATGCATCGTTGCCTACAGCACTGTTGCTACTGCTGTTTCTGCCACTGCCGTTGTTGCAGCTGCTGGGTTGTAGCTTCCCAAGGAGTGTGCTCCACAATTTGTAGTGGCATTTATGTGTATGAATTAGACAGTGCTTCTTCTTTTCTAACTTCGACAGCCGAACACCAGAGCCATCGGCAACTGCAACAGCAGCAACTGCAGCAGATATATCAACGGCAAAGTTTGGATCGATACCTGCCACAGCCGCCTGCTGACTTGGTACGAGCTTCGGTTTGTGCAGTTTTTTGTTGAATGCTCATATGTATTTCCCTTGGCAGAAGCAGCAAGAGCAGCACCAGGTTCATTGCTCTGGGGGCCCCATGTGTGCTGCGGCTATTCAGGCAGCAGCAGGAGGAGCGCCAGTTGCTTCATGCTTGTGGCTCCATACCTTTCGACTTGCATCTTCTATAGCATCCCCACTAGTAGCTGAAGCTTGCTTTGCTCGGACTGCCGCAGCGCCTGCCGCAGCAACCACAACAGCAACCACAAAAAGCAACAGCAACGGGAGCAGCAGGGATGGCTCCTAACCAGACTTCAAGGCCTCATACTGCTGGCGGGGGCGATAGCAGCAGTGGCAGCAGCAGCAGCGTAACTGGCGCTCTGCACCAGCAGCACAAGCTGTCAAATATGCTAGTGCTTTCAAAGGAAGAGTTCGATGCAGCGCACAAAGCCACAGACCAGTGGCTTCGAGGTGCAGTAACAGCACCAACAGCAGCAGTAGCACCGACCCGTCACTGTAGCTGCGGCAGGCGCAGCCACGTCGCAGCAGCACAGCCACACAGCGAGCAAATGCAGGTTGGTAGCACCGGCGTTTGGCATTAGCGCTTAGGGGTTGGTGTCTAGGATCTTGTGTGGCTTCGCAGTCGTGGAGGAGGTGCTACTGCCCCCAATTGACTACAGGGAGCACAAAGGGAGATACGGTCAGTGGGGGGGAGTCTTCGATTTACAGGTTGAGGGAATAGGGCTTCGGGGGCATTTCCTGCTGGTTCTGGTGTAGCTGCTGCTGCCCTGCGAAGCACTGCGATTGCTGTGGATCACCCGATGGTATTACAGCGGGCCATCTAGCTAGGTAGCTAGCTAGGTAGCTAGGTAGCTAGCTGGGTAATTCAGCTACTGTCTTCAGCGAGTCGTGTGTCTGCGCATTTAGCGTTGCTGCTGCCTGCTCTGTTCTTGCTGCGCCTGTTGTTGCTACTGCTGCTGTAGGCAAGGTTTGCGTTATTGGAGGCTCGGCGGCCTTTACAGGGGCCCCCTACTTTGTTGCATCTGCGGCTCTCCGGATGGTGAGAACTCCAGAGGGCCCGTCGGGCCTCCACGGATATGTGTTTTCGCTTACGGGTGATGAACCTCTGAATAGTATCGATGTGCATCTTCCAAGGGACACATTATATGCCTAAAGCTTACAAGCGGCTGTGCATACACTTGCCATGGGCCTTTAGAGGCCCATAGGGGCCCCTCAAAGCAATGTTCGCAAGCTGGAGTTGTAAACAATCCAGATAAAACAAGGCAAATACCTCTTCAGTGGACTGAGAGATGTACTGGCTACTTGAGAGGTCTCCTAAAGGGAGGGATCTTCCACAGCTGGGGATGCAGCGGCTTCGGCCCCCCATTGCGTTCCTAGGGGATCTCAGGGGCACCACAAGACCTGTAGCTTGGAAGGGCCTGAAGTGAGGCCCAGCTGGGCGCAGCTGGCCTTGGAACGAGCCATGCTTAGGGTTTAGGGTTTGGGCGCTTTGCTTGCAGGGGGCGGACCTGGCTACTGTCATCACTACCCCCAGCGCCGCTGTGCCTATAAAGTCGTACAGCCCGGAACTCCTTGTTTACCCTGTAGGTTTGTAGCAGCACCTCTTGCTGCAGCAGCTTCAACAGCAGCAGCTGCACAAGATGTGCTGCTGTATATTGCTGTTCCTTCCTGCGCTCCGCTTGGTTTCATTGCAGCAACAAGGCGGCCAATGCCTGTATTGTTCCCATGAGTGTTGCAACCCCTCCTGCCTTTGCTGCTGCTGCAGATCTTGCCTTGCCGCTATGGGCCGCACGGGAAAGCCACCGAACATGATGGCCCCTTCGACTATCCGATGGAATTGGCGCGGCTGAGAATCCACGTCCGCTTCTCAGTTGCTTTTACATTTGATGTTGGTGCTGCTCTTGTTAGGGTCGTTGCGCCGCCAGCTGCGACGCGTGGCGCTGTGTTAGTGTGCCGTGATCCAGAGTGTTGGGGCCACTGCTGTCGCTGTTTTCAAGCAGCGGGTTTTTTTGGCGGTAGATAGAACAACAACATCAGCAACGGCGGTAATAGGCAATGGCGTTTGTTGTTTGATCGCAGGCGGAGCCGCTCTTGCGCAAGGCTGACGTCGTTGTGATGGGCCCTGGCCTTGGAGGCAGCAGCAATTATCGCATTCACGAGGAAGATGAATTGCAGCAGCAGCATCACCAGCAGCAGCATCAACAGCAGGCGCAGCACCAGCAGCACGGAAACAAATCTGGAGACAAGTCTGTCAGTGGGGGGCGTTTTTCGCAGCTCTTTAAGGGCGCGATTGACGACGTACATAAGGTAGTTAGGGGCACATCGTCTTCTTGCTCTGGAGCAGATCAGAAAGCAGCAGGAACAACAGCAGCAGCAGATCCCACGAACCCAGTCACAATGGACCATGGAAAACTTAAAGCTGCTGCAAAAGAAGCTGAAGCTGCTGCAGCTGTCACTCAAAAAGCAGCAATTATGCTGTTGAGGCTCTGCATACATCTGCGTAAACCCCTCGTGAGTCGTGCAGCTGCAGCAGCAACCGCAGCAACAGCAGTAGCGGCCACGAAGCGGACAGCAATACTTGGTGCCTGCACCGTGAGTGCCATGTGCTTGGCAGGCGGCGTTGTTGGTGCTTAATACATGGCGTTGCTGCTTCTGTCTGCTGCGGTTGCTGGTGCTGATTCTGTTGCTGATGCTGCAGATACTGGATGCGGACATGCTCCGCATTTTGTCGATTCCTGGGCACGAGCATTTTTTATCCTTGTTGGAGGGTTATGGAGAAGCAGTATTGACGCCAAATGCATATGAGTTAGATTTGCTGCTGCAGGCGCTGCGGCGGCACCAGCAGCAGCAGAAGAGTGGAGCAGCAGGAGCAGCAGCGTCAGCAACAACAGCAGAGCGTCCTGCGCATTGCATGACGCATGCATTACTACCGGAGTCTGTGAAGGCGGAGGGCCTAGCGGGGAGTATCGCAGAAGCTGTGTTGTTATTGCGAGGCCCTGGTGTGTTTGCAAAGGGGCGCGTCGACTTGCTGGGGGTTTATGAAGGGCAATTGGGAGGAGGCGAGAGCAGCACGCAACACGGCCAAGTGTTTGCTGCTGTTGGCAGCCTGGATGTGCGTTTCTTAGGGGCTCCCAAACGCTCAGGAGGCCAAGGCGATGTACTATGTGGAGTTTTGGCTCAGATGTTGGTGTGGGGAGAGCGGCGAAGGGGGCAACAGCTACTGAAGGAAGTGGAGGTAGCAGCGGAGGCGGTGGGCTTGAAGGTGCCCTTCTGTAGCAGCCCCACAACTCCCCAACTCTTCCTGATGCATGCAGCGAGTCTACTCACCAGACAAGCCGCCGCTCTGGCCTTCAGACACCACGGACGAGGACTTAGTGTCAACCAAATCCTAGATAGGCTCAGCGCTGCTGCAGCGATTCTCTTTCCAAACGCTTGGCTGCAGCAGGAGACAGCCTAACGCACATATGCATGCAGGCAGGCGTGCATGCATGCAGGCGCCTCCGAATTTAAAAGCAGGCAGATATACCCCTGCATGTGTGCGTAGACATGCATGCATAGCCCATAGAAGCATTGCATTATAGGTGGATATATGGCTCCAATGCATGCATAACCCACGTGCGCATTACATACCCACCTCATTCATTTACTGGCAGACAGACAAGCGTGTGCATGCACCGGGGGATGAGTTGTCTTTATCTGTGTATATCCCCATTGGAATATTAAACCAGAATACACGCCGGAAAATCCCCCTCCGGGGTTTGCGTGTAGCGTCGTTATTTCTCCCTTCGGCAGCCTCAACGATAGACGCCAGGGATGCCGCTTTTATGCACCGCACTGTCTGTGCTTCTTTTGTTCTTAAGCCTTTGATTCTGCTGCCTGTACTCCGTCAAAACCTTGACACAAAAACCGTAGACTTATGGAAGTGGCGACGCATTCTGTGTGTCTCCCTGCATCTAACTCCTTGGGTTCGGGTTGTAGGGTGCATACATAATTGCAGGTTTTGGCTCTGCTCAGACTAGAGGGGTAAGGCCTATAAGGTTGGTGACCTAACGACATAAGCTATGCGATTTACGTGAGGATAAAGGGTTTAGGGTTATGAGTATTGGTTTAGGTTTTCGTTACATATGCATTTTAGTTCCGGGGCTGAGCGTACAGGGTTGAGAGGCCAGATATGAGGGCCTGGATTTGCTGATAGGGGTTGACGGTTAGTGGATGAGGGTGATGCATTTATGCTAGTGTGCCAAGAGTTGGGGAATAACTGTTGAGTGTAGTTGTCAGCGGTGTTCTCTTGGGGTTTTATATTTTAGGGGGTAGGGTCAGGGTGTGCCCCGATTTGCAGGCGCATGCACAAGAAACGACTCAGCAAGCAGCAACCGATATCCCCTTCATTCCTCCTGCCCAGAAGGTTGGGAACCCTATACCCTAAACCCTTCGCACAGTGGGGACAGGCAAGGAGAAGCAGCTACCAAAGCAAAGGAACTGGGGGGGGGCAGGGGGCAGGAAACGGGCTTGCATAGCCTCCGCTTCGGTGGGTTAGCTAGCCGCCTGGTGTGGGGAGGGGAGGAGGAGATGCATTGGTGGTGAGGTTGTTGCGTTTTTAAACATACTCTGCACCTCTCCTCAGCCGTTCTGCTTAACAGCTCCTCTCTCTCGTACCACCCCAGTTTTCTGGAGTCCTTCAGTAACCCTCCCTACTGACGGTTTAGGTCTCATCTTGGGCTTAGGACTTCGTCAGGATCTACGGTTTAGGGTTTCGGGGTGGATTTCGGAAACGGATAGATTGGGAGTAATCAATGGATGCACACCCTGGGCTTCTCTCGAGTGTTCGTCTTTGTTTGCGGGTTTAATTAGAAGCCTCCGCCAAAGACAGCGTATGCATGGACTGAAGTGAATCCAGAAACGCGGTGGCGTACAGAGACCCGCTTGCATGCAGCCAGGCTTCCTGCAGCTGCAGCCACGGTTCAATGCACGCGCACAAGAAGGGATTAGGCTTAAGGGTCTACGCATGAGACCCATCTAACAGGAAGAGCTGCCTCTTTCCTTTAGGGTACAGATGCACCCAGCTGCAGAAACACCTATGTCCCTCAGTGAGGGCATAGGGTTTTTCGGAGGGTTTAGGGTTGCCCCGAGGGTCTAGGTTTTAGCTGTCTCCGGGTTTGACCTCCTCTTCTGCGGACTTCTTCTGAGCTTCCAGTCTCTCTAACTGCAAAAAACAACCACAACGCAGGAGAAAGAAACGGAGAGACAAATAATACAAAATGTTGAGACAGACGGTGAGCAAACTAATGGCTTAGCCTTCCCACGTCACAGCGACAGCAGGTCAAGAGGCATGCCGAGGCGGAAGCAAGTAAAGGGACAGCAGAAGCGGAAACAGCAAGAGGATAATAACAAATGAAGAAACAGCAGGCAGAAGAAAAACTATATATATT